ATATTTAATATGCATAGGGGGCTAACTTCCTGTGTTTCACACCTGTAGCTGATGCGGAAGATAATTTATAGGTGGTACAAGTTGCCTGCTAAACAGCTCAACCCTTGCCCCCTGACCTGTCAGATGAAAGATATATGGGATACATTTCAAAACAGAGCAGATAATGTCTAGGGTACAAACCTAGAAAATGCCCCATGATTACTTGAATACTGCTTCTATTATTTTTATGTTGCCCACATTTATCCTTATCCTCATTTGCATCTTCGTCTTTTCTTTTTTTCATATCTCCAATGTTTTAGCATGTTAGATAGCATTAGATATTTATATATTGAGCTGTCAAGATGTATTCATGTATAGACAATAAACTACAAAAATGTATATGTACTCATTGACATTTGGAAAACATATTTTTAATTATCCTTGCTGGAAATAAAAATTATCAAATTGAACCCCCCACCCCCAAACATCAAATATAGTGTAAGTAAACATAAATACGAGGTAATGATAGTTTCCCTTTAAAAGTAAAAAAAAACAGTATAACAATTTTTACAATTTCTTCCTAACCTCATTCCTAACCTTCTATCTCTTCCTTTACCACTGTCACTCTGATCCCTATATCTTTCTCTCCATATATTTTTACCTTTTATTTTCAATCCATTTGCTGGTTATTTCTCTTGCTTACCTGCATTTTATTTCTCTTTCATTCTCTATAGGACAATTGTGTCTTTGATTTATAATGTACTCAAGACTTTTATGGAGATGAACGGCAAACTCTTTGATGAACTCACAGCATCCTATAAACTTGATAGACAACAGTGAGTATGTAACCATACAAACACAGTAAAGTGTCTCCTAAAACTACAAACATGAAGCAATATATTTCTGTGCAGTCAGCTGCCAACCATAATTCTCTACACTCCTGGCAAAAGTCTTTATTGCAGTGCTTATTAGCATTAAACCTCATCGTTAATCTTTATTTCTACTACAGAGAGTTGAAGCGTGACAAGGAGCGTCAAGAGCTGTGGAGGAAGTTGGACGAGCTGCGTCTTAAAAAAATGAACGGTCTGGAAGAAGCTCAGATGAACCAACTTAACCTACAGCACAGTCGAGGAAGTAAAAGTTAGGAGACCTCTCCCCACTACATTCCATCATTTACCAGAAGACCACTGCAGCCAACCCACCCTCTCCTCCCTGTATATTGACCACTCTCTGTTTTGATCCCTCACTTCTTCCCAAAGAGAGGGGAGAACTGTTACCTCTTGTCGTGACCCTATGAACAACAACAAAGTCTATGGGAGAAGACTATGTCATTTTCACTTGGCAGCAGCTGTCTTGTCCACTTGTTGTGGGGATAAAGCATGCTTGGTGACATCTCAAAAGTGCAAACCACAACCTGGCACCGACTTTTCTGGGAAAAGCCATTTATAACCTCTACATTAACCATCCAGTGAAGAGTTTAGAAAGAATGTTCTCATTCTCCACCATGTTTACATCTTTCCAAAAGCATAGGGTTCATGGAAAATGACACACAGAAAATCCCTGTCACTTCCTATCCAGTGGGAACAGGAGCTTCTGAGAAGTTCCCTCCATCTGACACATCTTGTCTTTGAAAGCAAGGGCTTCTGGGAAAGCCTGTCACTGAATCACTTTTGTGCAACTCTGTAATTTTCTGACCGTGAGAGCAGAGGCTTCTGGGAAAGCTTCTTTAACAGTCAGTAAATTTCTCTTCCTGTTTGTGAAAGCAGGGGCTTCTGGAAAGGCCTGTGTCTCCTGTCAGTCAATTTCTGTACATGATAGGAGAGACTTCTGGGCAAGTCTCTCCACTAACCACCTTTATTCCGTCAATAAGAGCAGAGGCTTCTGGGAAGCCAAATTGACTCCTAACCCCTCTGGTCACACAAACACACATCTATCAGTGAACAGTTTCCTTTAGCACAGCAGATTCACAAACAATATGAACTGCAACAAACTTCAATCTGGAGAATTACCACCATGCTGGATTCATGGGAGAAAAGGCATCTGGGTAGATGGACTTTCCCCTCTGCTATTGATTGTCCTGTGGATACAAGTAACCTCGCACCAAACAATGCCACCTATTAGTAGAATATATAGATGTGTCCAGGATTGAAAATTATTCAAGTAGTCCACTCACCCGTGACGAGTAAGAAAATGTAGTAGATGAGTTAAAACAAAGCAAAACAAAATGCTCTATTACATGCATAACATTGGTGGACTAGAATCATTTTCCCCATCTGCTTAGCAGCTTTTGTTTTTTGTTTTTCAAACTGGCAGATATTTTGTGATATTTTCTCTGAACATGTCTCATTTTTAGCTATTGTGATTATCAAAGCAACAAATAGCACATTCTGGTAAAAGATTACACAAAAGACAAGAGATGGTTATCTTCTTATCAATCAAATGTTTAATCAAGTTGAAGTAGGGTCTTACGACTGACCTCATTGGTTCCAGAATGTCTTGGACTTTTTAAAATAGCTTCATATAGTTAAAGCTGATTTTCAAAATGAACTGAAAGATTTAATGTCATGGTGCATGAAAAATTATATGAATGTGGAACATTTGGAGGAGAGGATTCGACATTCACCATCATATGTCTGACTGTTTTCATGAACATAAAGAAGATCTCCTAAATCACTTTTCACTGTTCACTTGTTTTCTCTAATAGCCGTCACAAGAGATAATATGTCTGAGATTATAAATCAGCTCCATGTTTGGAACGGTAAAGATATCTTGATAGAACTTTGGAACTCTAAGGGGTATGTTACTTCCTGTCCACGAGATCAAAGGGGGGAAGCTAGGGTAAAGCTATTGTTTTATTTTTGCTTACAATAGGAAAAGCTTCTGGGAAGCTTTCTTAAAACTGTCCCCTCATGTCACTTAATTCCCTTTAATGCAATATCTTCCAAGGGGAGAGAATACATATTAATTTTCAATGTTAGGAGCAAAAACGTCTGGGATGTATAGCACAGCCTTCTTGTGTGTTCTCTTGAAAAAAAAATGACCCTGTTACTTTAATAAATACTGTTCCATCGTTACTTGAGATCTGTGGAAAAAAGGATTCTGGGTTTAACAATATACACTACAAAGGTGCTCTGGTCAGCAGAACTGGCAAAACACTATGTTGCTTGAATTCGAGGTCATGGTATATAGTGACATTACGGTTACGTAGACGATAGTATTGATATATAAAAAGCCCCTTTTCCTAGCAATTCCACAGGCAGCTATTTCTAGCCCATGTTCTTAATTTTCACTGCAATAAGCTAATAGCATGGGTCAATGAAGTAACAGAGAACCAAATACTTGGATCTAAAGTAAGTTAACCTACTGAAATTTAAAAATAATATACTGTTTTGTGGTTAAAGATGCATTCATGAATGATGCAAGTCTATGGTTCATAGTTTAAAATACACTAGTTTTGTTTTAGTATTAATGAAACCAGAATTAGACCCAAGAACTAGCCTCAAAAACTGTCTACTCAAACTCCTAGTATCTGAAAGAGTGAGCAAGAACTGTAGGAAATGTGGCATTTTTAAAAGCCTTTTTTTGGTTAAGTTTAGTGTTCTCTAAACTACCAAGGGAAAGAAGAAAGCCTCTGTGTTGTCTTACAGGGGAATACTTTGGTTTTAACAGAATGAATAACACATTACACTGTATGTTTTAGGCTTGTGAAATTAGATGAAGGTAGCAACGTATCTTATAAACGGAAGATTGGCATAGCTATTGAACAGGTACGGGTTACTGACCAGTTCTTCCTAAAAACTAATTGTGAGCGTCCAATCATTTAGTAGTGCCCTCAAGCATTGTCCTGAGTGTGAGCTATGTTTCCGTCAGTTTTCATCACACTTAAGCAAAAAGCTATGGCCAGGCATCACCACCTTGTGCTTTTCTCAACCTGCTCTTCCCTCTGCATTCCTCAACTTTTGATCCCATTTATGAATTTGAAGGGTGTTCTACAACTCTTCAATTATCCATTACTGTGTGTGCTGAGGGGAACCTCGGTTCTCTTATTAACGGTATAAAATAGCCTATTCTCTGAAAATATATATATATACTGCGTTCAACGTTTTCATTTTTATTTTTTTAAATGATTATTTATGGTATTATTTATTTCGTATTTAATATGGTCAGCGTTTGATCTGTTTAATTCACTGAGGGGAGGGGAGGAGTGGGGTGAAAACGATATTTAACCTGTTCACTGCTGAATTAAATGCTGGGTCTCAGAAATATGTCTTGTTTTTTTTTTTTTTTTTTAAGTCTTCAAGTTACATGTGTGAGCTGCTTGTAGATGTAAATACATGTGAATGTTTGTTTTCAATGTAAAATAATAGATTGAAGGTAATGTGTGTATGTGTGTGTGTGTGTGAGAGAGAGACACTGTCATGACAAATGTGAGTCCCTTTTATCACTAATAGACGTTCTAGCTACACATTTTAATTGCAAATGTACACATACGATGGTTATTTGCACACTTCTGGTGTTAAGCTCCAAGGCACTAGAAAAACAACAAATATAGCTGAGAAAAATTCATGTGAGCAGTTGCATGGGCACCCAGTTCGTCCCCACATAAGGCACTGTGGGATGCACTGTGTCATTTCTGGTAGATATATTGGAAGAGGGATAAGGAAACACAAAAGTACTACTATACACCTGCTCAATCTATGATTGCGCCTGCCTGAAGATTACCTGTAGAAAAGCCAAAATGCTGGCTTATAAAAAGAAAAACTTTTGAAACATTTTTCAAAGATGTTGGTTGCTTATATAAAAAATGACAATTTTGGGACACGTAAAAAATAATAACTGGGCAGTACGTGACAAGTGCGGCCTGCCATAAACAAAAATAATAACTTCCTTGTAGAATAACACATAAGCACACTTTAACAAAAGTATACATTAATAAAAAATTTTTTTATTAAGACGAAAAAGAAACAAAAAATAATATTTAGCATAAATATTAAATTAACATTATTAATTAGAAAACATGGGTCAAAGCATGTGCATATTCTCATGTACATATAAATATAACCACAATATATGTTATAAATAAATTGTTACTAGATTAGGGGCAAAGGGGTAATTTGCAGGAACTATGTAGCTTCTAATGTAGAATTTTGAAGAAGAAATAGCCACTGCCCATACTTTTAAACAATGCAATATTGTGTTTATTAGAAGGGAATGCTGTCACTCCACACTTGCCTCAGTGTAAGCATGTAAAAGTGTATCAATGGCTATGTGGGAAGTTTAAACCACCACAATGGAGTGCTAACAGAGTAAGATAAAGATCCCACTGGGCCCTAGTCAGGTTACCATTTTGGGCACCCCTTCATTCCTCACATAGGGATTGTTAATGGGACCAGGTTTCTGGGTCCTAGTCGGCTGCCTAGAGTTGCCTTATGATGAATCCTGTTCTGGCTGCCAACACCATGTTTGGTTTTAAATTTTACAAGGCTACTTAAAATCACCTATCTCCATAAACAAGTATGGGGATTCAGTTCCACCATACGGCCATATTGTGTTTAGCCCACCACTACGCCAAAGTACCCCAATATCGGTGGGTCCTACAATAATTCCAACGTGAGAGACTAATTAAATAATGCTAGTGCTAAATTAACTAAAGTATATTTAATTAATCTGTTGTAAGAGCATTGTGAATATTTTTATTGTATTTTTCATCACATTAATTTTACATGATATATATGTTCTTACAACAGAATAAATATATGTACTTTAGTTCATTTAGCACTATTTAATTTGTCTCCCACATTAAAATTAGTATAGGATCCAGCGATATTGGGGTACTGTGGCATAGTGGTGGGCTTAACACGATATCGCCATATGGTGAAACTGAATTCCCATATTTGTTTACTGAGATAGGTGATTTTAAGGAGCCTTGTAAAATGTAAAGCTGTATTTTTGTGTATTCGCTGTTCCTTAATCTGTATTTTGTATACATTTTGGTCACCAAGAGAGCACCATTGCTGAGAAATGCATGTTCCAGGTGTGCCTCCAATTCCCTTTTTAACACTGTATATTCTTACTTGTTGCTCCATTCATAGTTTAGCAGTGTAAATGTTAATGTTGTAAATGGCATGTCTATTTTATTCAGTGTTTACATGTGCTGGTGTGTATATGGGTTTGTACATCTGTGTAACAGAGACGTTTGGACTTCTACTGCCTCCCATCAGCTAAACTATAAAATACCTGAAAATGGCAAACAGGAGCACTGACACTGCTAGTAATACAACATGAGAGCGTCTTCATGTTAGTATCTTGAGAGACGACACATATCACATTGGCATGCTTTGGCAGTGCCAATTTCTATCTCTTCCCAACGAGATCCAGCGCAGAGCAATCGAACCTTAACCTGGACAGAAGACAAATAACAATGTGTTTGAGTGTCAGTGGAAGACAGCTCTATAAAAGGTTTTCTACAATTGTCTAATAATAAATTATAGTAATTTTATTATACTGACTTGACTGTGAGATGTAGCTTGAAAGTAACAGACTAACACCAATCATCCATTTGTGTAACCTTCCATGTATCTTTGTAGTAAGGTGCTCATTAGTGATGTCCGGAACAGTTCGCCGAACGGTTCGCCACGGACGGCGAACATATGCGCTGTTCGGTCCGCCCCCTATGTCATCATTGAGTAAACTTTGACCCTGTATCTCACAGTCAGCAGACACATTCCAGCCAATCAGCAGCAGACCCTCCCTCCCAGACCCTCCCACCTCCTGGACAGCTCACTAAGAATGCAGCTTCACAATGAATGTAAAATGGATGCTGTCCAGGAGGTGGGAGGGTGTGGGAGGGAGGGACTGCTGATGATTGGCTGGAATGTGTCTGCTGACTGTGAGGTACAGGGTCAAAGTTTACTCAATGATGACATAGGGGGTGGACCGAACAGCGCATATGTTCGCCGTCCGTGGCGAACCGTTCGGGACATCACTAGTGCTCATTAAGTTTTTTCAAAGACCTTTAAATCAGGTATTTAGCACTCAGAAGAAGCCTATATAGGTCTTTATTTGAAAGTTTAGAACCCATTCTTGGTGTTTTCGATCTGGTAATATATTACAACAAATACCCTTGCTCATAGAGAATCCAAAGAGATCACGGTCATTCAAACAAACATTAACACTCAGATGTAATCTAATTCTGCACACAAATAAATGCATAGATGTAAACATTTACAGAGTTATTTACTAAAGTGAGAATTCAAGGTGAGTTTCAAACTTAAGGCCAGAGTAACCGAATTGAAAGCATAACTGATATGGAGAATATTTCCAGCTCAGGTATTTTGATCTTAACTTTGAAATTCACTTTGAATTCACATTATTGTGAATAATCCTTTCAGAGAATATTTCCAGTTCGGGTATTTCTCACTTTAGTGATAACCCTGTAAGTTCAAACTGAATTTAAAATTTTATTGTCAAAATAGTCGAACTGGAAAAATTCTCTTGTAGTGTTATTCACTAAGCTGAGAATTGTTGAGAATCAAAAGTGAGCTGAGCTCCAAGCAGAAGTGACAATTTTTCTAATTTGGCTATTATGTCCTTAAAATTGAAAATAACCCTGTATCATACATGCATTCTCATCACAAGCATATCTCTACATGCATTTAAGCATATATATGTATATGTGCCTAAACAAACAATACATAATGCATTCTCATGGTCCCACATATTCATGCATACATTCATACACATGCATATGCATTCCTAGGCACGTAGACCACTTAATACCTCCCACTTGTTCTTAATCCCTAAAAGACTGAAAATATGTTTTTGTGTAAACACTGACTTTATCAGACTACTGTACGAGTAGTCATGATGAAAGTTTATGATTTTAAACTGAAACGTTGATCTTAAATAAAAACTAAGTTTTAGGAGGATAAGACCCATCTTTGGGATTTTTGTAAGTAAAGTACTGCTGGTTGCTGGAATCCAGGCAAGTGGATTCTCACTCCCATGAGTGCAAGCCTACTGTGGAATGTTTAGATGTAATACATATATATACAGTTGTAATCAAAATGATTCAATCCCATTGAAAATCAGATATGTTGTCAAAATGTACAGACTTTCATATGTTTGCATTACACAAATCAAACAAAAGCAATTGAAATAGCTCAACACAAAGAATGCTCCAACTGCTCTGCACAGTGAATCTCTCTATATACTGAGTGACGCACTGCTCTGCACAGTGAATCTCTCTATATACTGAGTGACCCACTACTCTGCACAGTAAATCCCTCTATATACTGAGTGACACACTACTCTGCACAGTGAATCTCTCTATATACTGAGTGACGCACTGCTCTGCACAGTGAATCTCTCTATATAATGAGTGACCCACTACTCTGCACAGTGAATCTCTCTATATACCGAGTGACGCACTGCTCTGCACAGTGAATCTCTCTATATACTGAGTGACCCACTACTCTGCACAGTGAATCCCTCTATATACTGAGTGACCCACTACTCTGCACAGTGAATCTCTCTATATACTGAGTGACGCACTGCTCTGCACAGTGAATCTCTTTATATACTGAGTGACCCACTACTCTGCACAGTGAATCTCTCTATATACTGAGTGACACATTGCTCTGCACAGTGAATCTCTCTATATACTGAGTGACGCACTGCTCTGCACAGTGAATCTCTCTATATACTGAGTGACCACTGCTCTGCACAGTGAATCTCTCTATATACTGAGTGACCCACTGCTCTGCACAGTGAATCTCTCTATATACTGAGTGACCCACTACTCTGCACAGTGAATCTCTCTATATACTGAGTGACCCACTACTCTGCACAGTGAATCTCTCTATATACTGAGTGACACACTGCTCTGCACAGTGAATCTCTCTATATACTGAGTGACACACTGCTCTGCACAGTGAATCTCTCTATATACTGAGTGACCCACTACTCTGCACAGTGAATCTCTCTATATACCGAGTGACCCACTACTCTGCAGAGTGAATCTCTCTATATACTGAGTGACACACTGCTCTGCACAGTGAATCTCTCTACATACTGTGACACACTGCTCTGCACAGTGAATCTCTCTATATACTGAGTGACCCACTACTCTGCAGAGTGAATCTCTCTATATACTGAGTGACACACTGCTCTGCACAGTGAATCTCTCTATATACTGTAACACACTGCTCTGCACATTGAATCTCTCTATATACTGAGTGACACACTGCTCTGCACAGTGAATCCCGAAATATACTGAGTAGCACACACTGTGGATGTCACTCATATACAGAGGGATTTGAGTTTGTATATTTGTGTAGAAGTGTTCGTTGCTGGTTTAAATAATTGTGAAGTGATGCATATTCCTTCAATAGTTTTAGGCCACAATAGTGACCTGATAAAAGAGTTGAGTTGGAGAATTTTCTAATTTGTCCATTTTGGTTTAAAAAAAAATTGCAATTCCATTGTCAATACCTGACAGGTCAATTATTGAATAACCTTGCTTATACACCAATGTAAGTATTATCCTTCAAAATCCTTTCTTAAACACGGTTTAACTTTCCCTCCCATATATCAGTGTTGTAAAACTGTTGTCTATGACGGTTTAATTTACAGTTAGAAAAAGAACTAATTTGTTAAAGCTGGTTGCATTTGGATGTGCATTATTAATGTTGCTAATACTTTGTTCAGAATAAACAGCAACAAAAGGGTAGTCTAAAGCCAGGAGAGCCAGGTGGTTGAGTTTATCTCTATCAAGTGGATTGTAAAAGAAGTACTTCACATCTGCTTTACACACAAAATAGGCGGTGAATATATTTGGTGTTTTGGTGACAATAACATGAAAACCTGCACTGAAATTAGCTTTTTTTTTTTTTTTTTTTAAATAAATGTTATGATAAAATACAGTATTGTTTAATCTTGGTGTTGATACTCTGCATTAGGACACCTGGGCTGCCATAGATCACTGTATATAAAGGAACCGCGGGTCAGTGCCTGTAGACTTTCTATCTCTGTAATGTTTAAATCCCAGATAAGAGAGTAGGATTTGATTAACATATAATAGTAATTTATTAAGTGACAATTCACACGTCACAAATTTGGTTATTAAACTGTTGTAAATGTTCACATTTAAAACCTCACCTTCAACAAAGTGCAAAAATAAATAGAGAAAGAAAAGAGCCGCTTTAAACATACATAATGTGGCACATTGCTGTGTCTTGTGCATTCTTTTTAAGAACTTGTGCAGTTTTTGGTAACAGTTAATGACTTCGTGGTCACAAGAATCCAAACCTATTGTGCTGCCCTATTTATCAAGTGTACTTTTTAAAGTTGCCTTTTTTAAAGTGATTCATTAAACCACAATTTTCCTGATCAAAGGCTGGTGGAGAAGGCTATGAGAGTCGTAGGTGCTAACCATCTGGGGAACCCAGGCGAAAAGGAAAATATTAATTTAAAACAGGGGAAGCAGAGGCAATCTCTTCTGGGCTCTGGATCCTCTATTATGCATTGCCCTGCTCATCTCAGGTGTGAGTGACTTCGCTGCTCCTTTCTCTGGCACTCAATGGGTTATAATATATTTGATTTATTTTTGCTTTTTACAATGGTTCATTCTAGCAATCAAAATTATAGCTTTGTTGTCACTGTCACTCTGCAGCAGGGGTGACAAACCCAAAGCACTGTCTCCTCTCTGTGTCATTGTCACTGTGACGCAGCAGGTATACGCTCAGTTTCCCTTCTGCTCGGATAGTAGGAGGAACTGATTCATCTCTTTACTTTGTAAGGAGAAAATAATTAGCCAAAAATAATAAAAATGTATCTCATTATCTAGGCTGAACCAGTATGTAGACTGTAGCTTATTGAGCAGTCCATTCAAGAACTGAAGGAGCTCTGGTGTACATAGCTACCAGGTTATAGATTTAGCCCATCCTCATTAATGTTCAATAATACCTAATTTAAACAACCTCCTTGAGAAAGGTAGAAATGGGTTTGAGACGAGTTTCTTACATTATTCTGGGTAAAGTTATAAATGTTTTTTAATTTGGTAGAACTCCTCACTAATGTCTGAAGGAGTAGTACACCAAGTACCTGGGTTCATATCTCTGTCTTTCACCACAATCATTAACAAATTTACAAAGAACCTGAAACATAACCTTATTCTGCTAAACAAAGAAGAGTATTACCACAACATTCTATATGTCTAGTTTATTCCCTAATGAAAGGTGCAAGCAACCTTCAGCACTCCAGACATTGTGGACAAAGCATCAGTAGAGACGTAGTCGATAACATCTGGAGTGCCGAGGTTTGCCTACCCCTGCCTAGAAGTTCTTGCAGTAAATGGGGAATTGTGTAAAACTGACAGTAAAATTGAAAATTTTAGGCCTAACAAAAAAACGTAACATCTTTTGCAACATGGACGTGTTATCCTAAAATCACCTTGCCAATTCACCAGATTTCTAGTTTAGTGAATAACCTCACCTGTATTGAAATAATCAATATATTATTATACAGCAAGGGCTGGATTTTCTTAGCAAAGTAAGCCCATAATTTGCTAACGGAATCCAGCCCCATGTTCTGATTTAATATCCCAACTCTCTATATTCAATAGCTCTTACCTTCTGCAGTTTGCTTATAGTGCAGCACTGTGACACTGACGTAATATTATGTTTAAATCCACTTGCCGCCAACACCGAATATTTGGATGGGAAAGCACTTGACTCACAGTGGCCCACGCAGGCGTGAATGACTTGGGTTCCTCTGCACGTTCCTTTGCGATCACTTCTTATAGTAACATTAAATGCTAAAGAGTAAAGGAAATGAGTTAAAAATGGTATTTCACACATTTTGCCTATCCCTTTATAAACTAAAACAATTATTCTAACAATACTTATATTATTATACCAGGGCACTAATTGTCTGCCCGTAAAGTAGCATTGATATCACAGAGACTGACTCAAAGCAAGGTCTAGTTACCAGTGGGGTACCTCAGGGATCTGTACTTGGACCCATTCTCTGTAATGTTTTTATTAGTGATATTGCAGAATGTGTTGATGGTAAGGTATGTCTTTTTGCTGATGATACTAAGCTTTGTAACAGAGTTGATGTTCCAGGAGGGATAAGCAAAATGGCAAATGATTTAGGTAAACTAGAAAAATGGTCAGAGTTGTGGCAACTGACATTTAATTGGGTAAGTGCAAGATAATGCACATTGGATGTAAAAACCCAAGGGCAGAGTACAGAATATTTGAGGAAAGGAATTTAGGGGTAATTATTCCAGATGAGCAGCAGGAAATGCTATCAGAATGCTTGGTTGTATAGTGAGAGGTATTAGCAGTAGAAAAGGGAAGTGCTCATGCCATTGTACAGAACACTGGTGATACCTCACTTGGAGTATTGTACACAGTACTGGAGATCGTATCTCCAGTAGGACAGAGTTCAGAGAAGGGCTACTAAACTGGCTCATGGATTGCAGGGTAAAACTTACCAGAAAAAGGTTAAAAGATCTTAAAATGCATAGCATTGAGGAAAGACGAAACAGGGGAGATATGATAGAAACATTTAAATTCATAAAGGGAATCAACACAGTAAGGGAGGAAAGTATATCTAAAAGAAGGAAAACTACCACAACAAGAGGACATAGTCTTAAATTAGAGGGTCAAAGATTTTAAAATAATATTAAGAAGTATTACTTTACTGAGAGGGTAGTGGATGCATGGAATAGCCTTACAGCTGAAGTGGTAGAGGTTAACACAGTGAAGGAGTTTAAGCCTGTGTGGGATAGGTATAAGGGAAAATTGGGAAGACTAGATGGGCCAGATGGTTCTTATCTGCCATCACATTCTATGTTTTTATGACCTGGAGCTGTCTTTTGTGACCGTGTGACAAATTATATTACTTTGTGTTATGTTGTATATACATATGCATTCATTTTTTCTAAAGAAATTATTTTTAAAAATGGAAAAGGTCACTTACGATGAAGATAACATCCTGGAGTGGTGACATCATGTGTCTGCGTTTCTGACATCATCACGGCAATGGAGAGGAAGACTGATCCCAAGAGAATGGACATGGTGAAGGAATCTGGAGAAGCAAAATGCTTTATAAGTCCCAAGGCAAACAAAATGCAAGAAGCTATTTTGTTTTCTCTTTCTTGTCACCGAAGGTTTAACATGTTTTCTTTAATAGAATTATTAGACCAAATAACCGCACAATAAGCAAACAATACCTGTATATTCAACAAACAATTTGTTTACTTAAGATGAGCAGATGGAGTTACTGCTGGAAAATTTTACAGTTCCCAAAACTTGGGCAATGGCTAAATGCAGCTTGTGGTATAAACACTGAACTCTGAAGCTACCAGGTATGTACATCCTGCTAAATCTGTCAGTAGACATTTGTAGGGGTCTGAAAAAGAAATTAATGTAAAATTGGTTCCATCAAAATGTCAAGTTCAGAGTCAAATTTGAGCAGGAATGAAAGAATAGCGTATTATTTTTGGTCAATAACTACAGAATACATGATACCAAAAAGTAGTGCATATCCTATGTTTACATTCACAATCCTACTAGGCCCAGACTAGAAGCAGGTTTTATATATTGTACCCTCTTGCCAATTTGGTATTCTTGAAACATCTTACCTTATTGATGGTTAAACATCAGTTATTCAGACTGCGCTTTTCCTTAGTGTTGAATGAAGGTGTATATATACTTATATGTGTGCTCCGCAGACACACCCATCCGTATGTCGCTCTCCCTAATACCCTCCACCTCTTCTACCTCTCCTTTCCCTGGGGCTCTCAAAGTGATCCAAAGAGGTGAAAGAGATTTAATTAATCACCAATGTACTGGAAAAAATTCTTGCATTTTGCTGAAATGAAATAACAGCATTGTTTAACGACAATGAAATTCTACATAAGTAATATTAAGTATGTCACTCTGAATAATGATGTATCTTTACAAAGGAAATGTTAAATGTGATGCTACTGCCCGGCTAAATCCCATTAGGATATCACCATGGTGATTTTAAATATAGTGAATAAACGATGCTTTAGCTGTTCAGTTTATCTGATTGACATGTTTCTGTGGGACACATAGATTTTTCATGTTGTTGGGCTGTGTATGAAAATAACTCCCAGTACTAAGGTGGCAATCATGTGCTTCAGAACTGAAATCAATTAATTACAGCTTCTTGTTTGGGACCACACTTCCTATTATAGGAGCACCTTTAGACACCATAACAATTTAAACAAATTTAAGTGATTATGATGTCTTAAGTCCATGGACGCTAGATCAGTGTTAAATGTTTTTTATACTGTTCAGCAAGGTTGCTCTGTCCCTGTGGGATTCAGCCTGGCCTCCAGACACGATAGGGTGAAGACAGATTTTTGGCCCCAAGAATATTTGGCCATGATAGGCTGAATGTGCTCAGTTAATGCTCTCAGTCTGTCACTGCCCGCTACCTTTGGTATTGCATGAAGAGGATCATAACTCTGCCTTCCCCATGTTGCTTTTGGTGGCTTGGCTGCAGCCTGTCAGTGACTAAGCATCCTTGCTAAATGGTAAATAACAAGTTTAACATTGATGTGGGACCCAGCGCCTGTAGACACCCTAACCACTTAAATATGGGAAATGATTGTGGTGTCCACAGTGTCCTTTAATTAGTTTATAACAATAATTGATTATTTAAAATGTTTTTTTTTTCTTTTTCTTGAAATTATCAGGCCTTCTGATGGCCGGACTTAACGTTAGACAGAGAGAAAGTAGAGAGACAGTGGAAACGAGAACTAGCCAGAGTCAGTAATCAGTCAAACAAGCAAACAACACAGGAAAGGGGTAAAGATAAACACAGGGTCAGTAACAAGCCAAGGTCAATACCAGAAAATACTCAAGGAATCAAGAAACGCACTAAAGGGTATTGGGGACAGAAACCACAATAGGACACTGCAGATAGGGCCAGGACAATTTAAATACATTTATGTAGCATTTGATTAATACACATCATGCATGCACCCACAAAATCTAAATGTGGGGGCGTGGGGCGGAATGACATGGACCAATAGGAGCTAGAAGAGACTTCTGGCTCCCATTTCCCCTTTAAGAATGTGCTTGTTATGCGTACAGCATATTTGAGCCTCGAGACCGATGATAATAGTCAGTGCACATGTCCTGCTTGATGGCAGGAGTGTTCCAGTCGCATGTGGCTCGCTTGGATGCAGGAGCTTTTAACAAAGCTAATTTTGGTTGGAATAAAGTCAGCTGAATTCTGACTGAATATTACCATTCAGATTCAGTCCACATTCGGTCACTGTTCATAATTTTGAACATTCGGTTACGGGTCAAGTTTGAGCGTTTGGTTGCATGTTTTAAGTGTTCAGTCCACCTGCTTCCTGATTTATTGATTTGATTTAGTGGCTGTCCCCAAACAGTCAATCATTTCTTTTTTGGCATGCCAAACAAAACACCGAATAATGAATGAAACAAACCTATTGGGCCATTGTCTGTGTAATTTTCTCATCATATGTCCATATGGTGCTTTCAAGTTACGGAATTCAGACGACCGAAAGCAAAAGTCTGATACTAAGAGTGTCTTACACAGTCAAGTTACGCTAAAATGGTATTTAACATTATGTATATCTCATCTGTTACGCTAATGAAAAAGTGATGCCCGTTCATATTTAATAAATGGACTAAGCCGCTTTCACATGTAAAAACGAAACAATTACGTTGTATTGTTTTGGTGTCTGGAGTGTCTCTTTAAGACTAAGCATTTTTGTTCATACTGTTCTGGAATGGTGAGAAATTGACTATAAATCTCTACATTTAAATGAGCGTTTCATGCTGTGGACACAACCAAAATTAGAGATAATGAACAAAATTTAGTATAGAAATATTATATAAAATATAATAAAGTTTTATGAATATTCCGTTGAAAAAGCCACATCCTAATGACGCACAAAGTTTCCAGAGGACGAAATTGAAGCAGGCTATGAGAACATACAGTGAACAAAAGCATCAACATTAATCTGTTAATCCGCCTGCAACACTGCATCATGTTAGAGGATCACATTTTCCACATCCTGATGTCTCATCTATTTAGGGAGAGATGTTATCATTGTGGAAAAATGTTTCTTAAACTAAAAAATAAATGAACTTCTGCAATCCAAGGAGAGGACTCTACATGTATTGGGATAATGTCATCAATCCCACCTGTCTGACTATATCACTTTGTAAATGAGTGGATAGAGTCTTGTATCACTTTCAGCTGTTACTGTACCGGAAAGGACAGTCATTGCTCCCTCCTGTTGGTCCTGTCTCTGCATGGAGGACAGGCGTCTGGATTCACTTGCATTTCAGACTTCGTCTATAATAAAAGGGACATTTTTAATGCCTACGATACATAGGGAAACACAATAACGACACTGCAATTTTGTGACAGTCAATTGCTTTAAAGTCAATTGCTGTAAAAAGAAGCAGCATTACAAAGGAGGCTCTGAAAGTTAGTGGTGCTTAGTGTTAGGGAAGAGGTAGTGGGACTTTTGATAAGGAGGCTCGGGGTGCCCTTTAAATCATAGCTTCCCTAGCTTGTGATCTGTAATGCAATTATAATTATAAACACCCCTTATCCCGTTGCCACCCTTACTCTAAGTCCCCTTAAACCTACAGCATGTGAACAATGCTATTGTACAGACATATCACATATTTTTGGGATCAGTTTAATGTGGCTGAGGTCACAGAGCTACAGTGCCTATTTTTCAATAACTGCCTTAAAATCAACTTTTCAATTCAATTTTTTAAAATGAATTATCATGTCTTTCTTTGCATTAAGAATAAACAAATAATGTACTAATCAAGCACGCTGTCTTGGCGTCATACTTGATTCTGGCCTCACCTTTGAGTCTCACATCCAGTCTGTTACCAAATCCTGTAGATTCCACCTTAAAAACATAGCCTGCATATGCCCCTTTCTTACACAAGATGCTACTAATGACATTACCCATGCTCTAGTAATCTCTCACATGGATTATTGTAACCCTCTCCTAATTGGTCTTCCCAAAAGTCGTTTTGCCCAGCTACAGTCTGTAATGAATGGTGCAGCCAAATTCATTTTCCTCTCCAGTTGGTCCTCTCACATCTCACCCCTCTGTCAGTCCTTACATTGGCTTCCTGTATCCTATAGGAGTCAATTGAAAGTACTAATCCATACCTATAAAGCATTGAACAATTCTAGCCCCTCCTACATCTCTTCACTGATTCATAGGTATGCCCCTTCTCGGTCTCTACGCTCTCCCCTGACTGTCTCCTGTCCGCTGCTTGAACCCGTACGGCCAACTCACGCTTGCAGGACTTCTCGCAGGCGGCTCCCTTACTTTGGAATAGCCCGCCTACCACCATCAGACTCACCCCTAGTCTTCAATCTTTTAAGAAGTGCTTTAAAACCCATCTCTTCAGGAAAGTTTATGGCATCCCAGGGTAACCTCAATCTCACATACCTGTCCCTTGCCCTCTCCTAAAGGGCAACACACTACTCTCTCCTCCAGCTTCACTCCCACCTTGTTTGATTGCTATCTTCTGTCCTATTGTGTTTTATACCCCACCTCCTATAGACTGTAAGCTCGTTTGAGCAGGGTCCTCTTCAACCTATCATTCATGTAAGTTTTTTGTAATTGTCTTATTTATTGTTAAATCTCCCCCTTTTATAATATTGTAAAGCACTACAGAATCTGTTGGCGCTATATAAATGCCAATAATAATAATTATAATAATAATAACTGTCTCTGTACCACAATCAAGGATAACCTAGAGAAGTTTCTATCAAGTCATGTTTTACCCCTGCTTCTCCAAGCAACACATATTCCACACTCTCTTGCTATAAAGGGTGCATAACAATGCACACATTGTACCATTCCACTAGCTGTTCTTTGAATTGTATCCAATAGTTTTAATATCTTGTACTATCATTTGACATCCGTTTCCTACCGCAGATCCTAATGCAACCATGTAGCAGAAACTGAAGACTAATAAAAACACTGTACAGACAGAAAGAAAACCTGAAACAATAGTCTCTTGATGCTCCACAATCAGGAACTGCAAATTTCCTCAGACAACACTGGACACACAGGCAATTCTAAAAGAACATTTCTTCTCATTGGGGAGGCTTTATGAATATGAATAAAGGCTTCTCAGTATCAGCTTCAGTCTTATTTCACTCGTTAAGGTCCAGTATTAAGCACTAGGTCCCAGTGGTTCCTAACAGTATATCTCATGTCTGCTTGTCTCAATACTTATCATACTTTATGTTTATTGCTTTGATGTAAAATCTCTTGTTTATTGCTATATTTACAAAATTGTGCCATACTTCTGTTTAATTATGTTGATATAAATGAGCTTGCTTCTGCTGTGATGGCATTGCAGACATGTTTGTATTTATCTGCAAACAAAAATAAATAATAATTTAAAAAAAAATAATTGCCCTTTTATTAATACTGCTTGTGTGCTCAGTCCTGTCTGTCTAACAAAAAAATACTTTTATGTAGTTGAGGACTGAAGACAATCCTAAACGTACAGGGTACGAAAATTAAAAGCGAATTTCAAATTTAACCCCTAAATGACATTAGGACGTGTATTAGGCATGTGCATGGGGAAATTTTTCGGTTCGGCATTCCGAAATTCGGGACTTAAGCAATTCAGCACTTCAGCACTTCGGAACTTCGACACTTCGGAAATTCGGGACTTCTCTTGCAGCCGCTTAGTAGATAACTCCCTAATTCCCACGGTATTAGGGAGTTATCTACCAAAAGGCTAAAAGACCTAAATTGGTCTTTCAGTCAAATTTACTAATACTAAGTAAAAATTACTTAGTATTAGTAAATTTTGCCCCTACTCGCGGTGCAGCCTGTGGCTGCTCACTGTTAAAAAAAAAAAGGGTCCCCCTTCCCGAGCCCCCACCCGCGACGCGCAAGTGGGGGCTATTAAACTAAAGGGCCTATTGCCCCCCAGCCCCCACCCCTGAGTAGCGGGTGGAGGACCTAAAGTAAAATAATGGGGGGGGGGGACCTATTGTCCTCCCCCCCGGCCCCAACCCCTGAGCGGAGGGTGGGGGCCCTAAATACTAATAAGGGGGGACCTAATGTCCTCCCCCCTGGCCCTCACCCCTGAGTGGTGGGTGGGGGCCCTAAATTGGAATAAGGGGGGGATCTAATGTCCCCCCCCGGCCCCCACCCCTGAGCGATGGGTGGGGGCCCTAAATACCAATGGGGGGGGACCTATTGTTCTCCCCTCCCGGCCCCCACCCCTGAGTGGTGGGTGGGGGCCCTAAATAAAAATCTTACCCCCCAGGTGACTAGGGGTCCCCAAACCCCTAGTCACCACCCCAAAAAAAATTAACCCCTACCTACCCCCCTCACCCTAAAAATAATGAGGGGGGGACCTTTAACTAAGCACCTGTAAAAAAAAATAAAACTTACCATTTGATGTTTTCTTTCTTCTAAAATCTTCTTTTTTCAGCCCCAAAAAAGGCCAAATAAAAATCCATAATAACCGACGCACTTAAAAAAATGAGTGCAAAAAAAAATAATCCATCTTCACCCGGCGAGGGCTCTGTGCAGACTGATCTATGCAGGGCGGGGGAAGGCTTATAAAGCACCATCCAATCAGAGTGCTCTGACAGGTAAATGAAGAAACTGACAGGTAAGTCTCTACATTTACCTGTCACAGCACTCTGATTGGTTGGCTTGAAATCCACCAATCAAAGGGCTCTGTGTCATTTTACACAGCGTGGGAAAGTTCTTTGGCATTTTCCCACGCTGTGTAATTTGACTCATAACACTCTGATTGGTGGATTAAGTAACCAATCAAAGAGTAATGAGTCAAATTACACAGCATGGGAAAATTTTGGGTGGGGGCCAGGAGGGAAGACAGTAGGTCCCCCCCTTATTAGTATTTAGTATTTTTTTTTACAGGTACTTAGTCAAAGGTCCCCCCTCATTATTTTTAGGGTGAGGGGGGTAGGTAGGGGTTAATTTTTTGGGGGTGGTGACTAGGGGTTTGAGGACCCCTAGTCACCCAGGGGGTTACATTTTTATTTAGGGCCCCCACCCGCCGCTCAGGGGTGGGGGGTGGAGGACAATAGTTCCCCCCCTTATTAGTATTTAGGGCCCCCACCCACCGCTCAGGGGTGGGGGCCAGGGGGGAAGACATTAGGTCCCCCCCTTATTAGTATTTAGGGCCCCCACCCACCGCTCAGGGGTGGGGGGGAGGACAATAGTTCCCCCCCTATTGGTATTTAGGGCCCCCACCCGCCGCTCAGGGGTGGGGGCCAGGGGGAGGACATTAGGTCCCCCTTTTATTCCAATTTAGGGCCCTCACCGCTCAGGGGTGGGAGCCAGGGGGGAGGACATTAGGTCCCCCCCTTATTAGTATTTAGGGCCCCCACCCGCCGCTCAGGGGTGGGGGCCAGGGGGGAGGACATTAGGTCCCCCCTTATTCCAATTTAGGGCCCCCACCCGGCACTCAGGGGTGGGGGCCAAGGGGAGGACATTAGGTCCCTCCCCCCTTATTCCAATTTAGGGCCCCCATCCGCCGCTCAGGGGTGGGGGCCAGGAGGGAGGACAGTCGGTCCTCCCCCTTATTAGTATTTTGGGTTCCCAACCCACCGCTCAGGGGTGGGGGCCAGGGGGGAGGACATTAGGTCCCCCCCTTATTAGTATTTAGGGCCCCCACCCACCACTCAGGGGTGGCGGCCAGGGGGGAGGACATTAGGTCCCCCCCTTATTAGTATTTAGGGCCCCCACCCACCACTCAGGGGTGGGGGCCATGGGGGAGGACATTAGGCAGCATAGCGAGTAGGGGCATAATTTACTAATACTAAGTAATCTTTACTTAATATTAGTAAATTTGGCTGAAAGACCAATTCAGGTCTTTCAGCCTTTTAGTAGATAGCTCCCTAATTCCGTGTGAATTAGGGAGTTATCTACTTATTCATTCCTGTCATTACACTTACTGGTTAAGTAACCTACATTTTATATGAATGTATGTTACTTGATTGTTGTAAGTGTTGCAAATGCTTACAGCTGAATCCTGTCTATGTTTGTATACTTTTTATTTAAAATTGCATACAGTGTAACATTCTTCATTCTTCCAGTGGGTAAGTATATTAGTTCTTAGGCAATACTGTGCTTCGGAACGTCGGCACTTCGACACTTCAGAAATTCGGTAATTTCGGGACTTCAACCATTCGGAAGTACCCGAATGTCCGAATTGCCCAAAATTCGTCCAAATTCACATTCGGACAGAAACGAATTGCACGTGTCTAACGTGCATT